GTCAATATTATTTTTAATATCTCCCAATAGCATAGCTATCTAACAATAACAGTTTTGAAAACACGTAGTCTAATGTAAGAAACACAATTATCAATAATAATTGTAAAATTAATTGATTATTGTTTGTTTTTCAAAAGGCTTTTGCATATATTTTCCTACACTACAATTGAAGGAAATTATACAAGAGGTTAAGAATAGTTTATCTTTTTAACTAAACAAGGCATTAGCATACATTAAAACCTTTCTGAGACTATGGGGAGAAATTTCAGAATATATATGTTTCTGATAATGATATAATTATGTGTAAAACACTGATAATCTTATTCAAATACCTCTTTACAGCATAAGAAAATTTACTCATAATAATAAACCTTATGTAAAATATTTCTAAAAACAAAATATTATACTGATGACAAAAATAGTTTACAAAAAGAAAATTCCTAAAATAAGAAGTTTAAGGATAAAAATAATTTGCTACTGGTCATTTGATATAATAAAATTCAACACTTCACAATTAGAATAGCAGTTAAGTATTTTCCATATGCAAAACTTATTTCTGGTTTGAAAAGCCACCTTTTGAAGTGTAATATCTAAATACGATTTAATCAGAAAAAGTGATATGAAAGTTTAGAGAATTGCTAATATCTTGTATCGTTTTCTATACTGAAACTAAAACCTTTCAAACTGGAATCTGGTTTATTATACACTATTTTAACAAGCTAAGTCTAATATAGACTAACGTAAATGATGCAATTATTGGGGATCATGTGTGGTTCCCATGAAAAACATCACACACAGGGGTTTTCACATTACACTCTCCCTATCCATTCAACCCACCCCTGCTAATTTTTCACAGGGTTCTCACCCGTCCCATTCAAGAAGCTTCTTCCACGTCTTCAGTCTGGAAGAAATGCACTTCCTGTGCTTTCTTCATCTCTTTGTTCTTGCTTCTGAAATCTTACTTATTGCACAATATGTTTTTAAAGAGGAGGATTCTTTGAAGGCAACGCCTCTCTTTCATTTCTGCATGCCTTATCATTTAGTAGTTGTAAGTCATGCAAATAAATGTAGAAGTTTGATTTTTCTTGACCTAGCTTTGAATAAATCAGTGGCAGGAAAAGATTAACTGGGGGAAACACTGAAAGACCCAAATATTGACCTAAAGTTCAACATAAATTTATGAAGAAATTGGGAAAGCATAGTATCGAATAAACATTTTCACTAAACAGGAACACAAGAATTTAGAGGTAGAAAGCTGGCTCATAATGTTTTATTTGATCAACAACAAGCAGTTTGCCTTGTGTGGTTACTTACGAAAGCAATAAGAGTTGAGAGTTTAAAAAGAATTTCTAGAGAGCTAGAGTGAGACGTGTATGTTTGGCCTAGAGAAAATCCTTTAAAAATATGAATTCTCAATCTCAAGAGGGGTCTGTCTGACATATGTGGTGCTTGAGAAAGATCATGTATTTGCCGACGTGTATAGTCAGCTGCCATGAAAGGAGATTGACAGCAAAAGTCTTAGCTCTTGACTGGTATAAAACATAAGACGAGGATGTTTGGTCTCAAATGCAGTTATGTGAATGGAGCATCCAAGATAAATTGTGAAGAAAAATTAAAAAGTTGTGACCAATGCTTATGTGTGTTTGAAAGAGAATTAAAATTAATAATAAAAGCAAGTTTTTAATTCTGCGAAATTAAGAAAGATGGTAGCGCTATAATGGCACAGAGAAAGAAAGAAAAGGGTGTTGTTTTTATTTTTATGGAAGGTGTTGGAGAAGAGTTGATTGAGTAGAAATAATAGAAGTAGATAGAAAAGAAAAAAACTACAGCTGCTAGGAGTAGTACAAAATATTTGAAATGATTTACCATGTACTTGTATGTGTGTGAGTGCCTGTATGTAGAGAAAGAGCATTAATTGGTCAGTGTTATATATCCACTCATAATTTAATTATGTTATATGCTTAAAGCAATGCAGAAAAATGTAAAATTGTTACCTTTTGCATTGCCTCATAGGCAGTAAGAATAAAAAAAATCATCTTTATTTAATGTTGCTTCAATTTACTATTGGTCAAATATTTTAATTTAAAATTGCTAATTTTATACTTAAGTCATCTTGTGTGTTTTGCCATGATTTCATTGAATTATGTTAGAATATTTCAATTTATTAATAATATATACTCAGGAATAATTTGAATGTGCTTAGCATAAAGAAAAGATAAATATTTAAGGTGATAGCTGTTCCAATTACCCTGATTTGACTATACAAATGTTATCAAATTATCACAAGTACCCTGAAAATATGTATATCTAATATGTATCAATAAAAATAAATAAAGTAAAAACAAATAAAAATATAGAAAATAATATATACTCAGAAAGCACTAAATAGCATTAACTTGCCAGTGAAGAACAGTAGCTTCATGACACTACATTCAAACCAACACGGTGTCAAGGAAGGTAAAGCCTACAATGGAAATACATTTGAATGACTGTAAAGCTACCAATACATTACACAATCAGCTTTTACATCTCAAGCTTCCCCTTGGACATTTCCATTTGGATGCCATAAGAATACTTCAAATTCAATATGCCTCACATCTAATTCTTCATGCACACCCTCCTGCTCTTTCTTCTCTATTTTCTTTCTTAGGGGATGCATACCTATCCTCTGAGTTGCCCAGGCTAGAAACTTTATAAACATGTCTGATTCCTCCCTCTTCCATCTTGAAATTCAACTAACAATCAAGTTTGAGTGGTTTACATTTTTTACTTTTGTTGACTTTAGATTCCATCTCGCATTCATCTCATTCAATAAATTTACTGAGCACTTAATCTATGCCAGGTGTTGTGCTAAGGATAGCAAACAAAAGCAAACACAATCCCTACCCCCATGGAGTTTCCAATCCACTGGAAGAAACAGGTGTTACTCAGTATCATTCTAACAGAAATAAAGGTGCAACTGTAAGAAAGATACAGTGCCTAGGCCAGGCATTTGATCCAATCAGGGTGGCTTTTCTGGAAGGTAACATTTGAATAAAAATCAGAAGGAAGAAGAGTGATAGGAAGATTCCAGACAAATTTAACAGTACATGAATATAGACAAAGGCTGAGAGGGACAGAGAGAGAGAGAGAAAGTGACAAGATAATAAGTATGGTAACCTAAGTTCAGATCTGTACCCTCACCATTCTTGACAATTACATTAGTCTACCAAGTTGTGTCTCTCCTTTCTACAATTTCTAGTCCGTCATTTGCGTTCTTCCAGAATTATCTTTCTAAACTCAGATTTGATCTTGTCTTTCTAATGTTTATAATTCCCTCAATGTGTCTCCCTGGCACACAAACCTCAATGTGTCTCTCCTCCAAGCCCTTGTCCAGCCCAGTCTGTCCTCACTGTATGGTGCATGCAACCCACCCACTCCCACCCCACATTGTACTTAAACGTACCTCAGAACAAGAGGTCATCTTTCATGCTTCCAGATTGTGTTTCTGCTGTTCCCTCTGACCAAATACTCTTTACCCTTCTGTCTGATGAAACTTCATACATTTTTCAAGACTCAGATCAAATAGGAAATTTCTCTAAACCTTCTAACTAAATATTTGATCCCACTATACGTTGCATATCATCTATTGAAACATAACTTTACTGTACATATGATTGTTTCTATAATTGTTTCTCTCCCTAGACTGTGAGTCACTTGATATTAAGGATGATCATTTATAAATTTTCACAGTGTCTAATTTAAAGCAGACTAAAAAAAAAAAAGTCCATGGAACAATACAGGAAAGAAAATAGACATAAAAATGGCATTCAACTTTTCCGAACAATTCTTGAAAACCCAATCATTAAATCCAACTTTGTGGTCCATGTTAAATCAAATTAAATTAATGCTTAGGGAAAAGAGGTTCCACAAAATAAAATAATTTCTATGATTTGTGAACCATCCAACGATGAGGCTTCAAGCCCTCAGTTATATAGGAAACATGTTCCACAACAAAATCCTTAATAATAAATTTTTTGAATCTTTATCCATATAAGTGTAACACAACATAGTATTTTCAAAGTAAATGATTGTACACTATTTCCCTAAAATGTCTTACTCTCTAATTCCCGGAGGAAGCTCCAGAGCAGCAGATAGAAGCGGAAAAGGCCTAGCTAAATTGAGACTTCACAGCGGGTGTCAGATGCTATCAAGGAGCAGTTATTCCCACAGTCCAGCACCCCTACCTGTGTTACCTGTCTCAAACAGCCTGACCTAAGTGGGGGAGGGGAAAGCCTGAGCTTGCAAAAACACTTCAACAGATCAGTCCTTGCAAAACCCCACAAATTTAGAAGAGAAAAGGGATAATGTAAAGGTGTTTTTGTGGGATAGACCTTTTTTTGAATTTCTTCTATTTCCCATTTCATCACTGTTCCTGTAACCAGAGATTTCTGTCCTCTTGCCCAAGTTTCCTCCATTGTCAAAGCCACTTCAGCTCTCTAGACCACGTCGAGACCTTCTCTCAGTGTGTGCTCCCCACCACTAAGAGCATCCTATGATTCCATAACGTGATGTCCTTCTCATTGATAATAACCATAATACCCGGGTCTGGCTGGGACTCAATAATTTTTCACAAATCTTGCATCTTACTTGAAAATTAAGCATGTAAAGCTTCTTTCATTGAAAAAGTCAGACTTTATAGTTAATAGATAATGAATTCAAACCTTAGCTTTCCTATCAATTATCATGAATTTGACGCAATTTTGAAATATTTTTTAATCCGTATAATGGAAATAATGATATCTATTTCACAGTGTTATGAAAATCAGTTGAAGCCATAATTTAGAT